AAGTTGGGCTGCACTTCTTCCAACATAGATCTGTTTGTTTTTTTGGCAGTCCAAGATAATTTTAATATTCTCTTCCAACACCATAACTCAAAAGCATCAATTCTACTGCGGTCTTCCTTATTCACTGTCCAGCTTTCGCATGCCTATGAAGTTACTGAAAATACCATGGCTTGAGTCAGGTGTACCCTAGTCCTCAAAGTGACATCTTTGTTATTCAACACTTTAAAGAGGTCTTGTGCAGCAGATTTGCCCAGTGCAGTATGTTGTTTAATTTCTTGACTGTTGCTTCAATAAGTGTTCATGGTTGATCAAAGCAAAATGAAATATTTGACAACTTCAGTCTTTTCTCCATTTATATGGATGTTATTTATTGGTCCAGTGGTGAGGATTTTTATTTTCTTTACATTGAGGTGCAACCCATATCGAAGGCTGTACTCTTTGATCTTCATCAATCAGTATTTTAAATTCTCTTGGCTTTCAGCAAGCAAGGTTGTATCATCTGCATATCAAAGGTTGTTAATGAGTCTTCCTCTAATCCTGATGTCACATTTTTCTTCATATAATCCAGTTTTTCAGATTATTTGTTCAGCATACCGATTTTAAAAGTGTGGTGAAAGAATACAATCCTGTCACACACCTTTCCTAATTTTAAACCTTTCAGTGTTCCCTTGTTCTTTTCAAACACTGCCTCTTGGCTTATGTACAGGTTCCTCATGAGTACAATTAAGTGTTTCAGAATACTCATACTTTACAATGTTCTGCATAGCTGGTCATGATCCATGCAATCAAAAGCCTTTGTGTAGTCAATGAAGCACAGGTAAACATCTTCTGATATTCTCTGCATTCAGCCAAGGTCCATCTGACGTCAGCAATGATATCCCTCATGTCCTCTTCTGAAAGCAGCTTGAACCTCTGGAAGTTCTCTGTCAACGTATGGTTGCAGCCATTTCTGTATTACTTTCAGTAAAACTTTACTCGCATGGGACATCAATGATATTGTCTGATGATATCTGCATTCTGTTGGGTCACTTCTCTTTGGAATGGGCACAGATACAGATCTCTCCCAGTCAGTTGGCCAGGCAGTTGTCTTCCAAATTTCTTGGCAGAGATGAGTGCCTTGAGTGGCAGAGATAAGTGGCACATCAGTTTATTGAAAGATTTCATCTTGTGTTCCATCAATTCCTGGCGCCTTGTTCTTTGCCGATGCCGCCAATGGACCTTGGACTTCTTCCTTCAGGATCAGCTGACTCTTGATCATATGCTACCTCTTGAAATGGTTGAACATTTCTTTTTGATACAGTGACTCTGTATTCCTTCCATCTTTTTTTGATGCTTTCTGCATCATTCCATATTTTGCCCATAGAATCCTTCAATACTGCAAGTTGAGGTTTGAAGTTTTTCTTCAGTTCCCTCAGCTTGAGAAATGCTGAGTGTGTTCTTCCCTTTTGGTTTTCTAACTCCAGGTCTTTGCACATTTCATTATAATATTTGATTGGGTATCTGATATATACTGGAAGCAGGCCACCCCCCGAGGGAGCTTCCTTTCAGTTGATTGGCTCCTCATAACTGACCTCATCATCGAGTACATCACATTCTGTTAGATCTCATAACAGGAATAACTGTATCTGAACTGTCA